TTTTAAAGCCGGCGCTTTTCGCTACGAGTGGGTTATACACATTTAGTAAAGTCCAACTAGTGGTCTATTATCAATGCTGCGTTCTGATTGGTTGAGCTACTACTAGGCTATATGTTATAGCCCCCTAGAAGCGAAAAGCGCGTGCTTTTTGGCGGCAAAAAAGGATTAAAGTCTAGCTTTAACTAGCTAAATCTTTTTTATTCTCGATATTTTTGACTAACTAGTTGGATTTTACTAAAACAATTATTCCTCTCGCCCTCATGGCCTCTAATTGTTAAATAGCCTAGTAGTAGCTCAGCCAATCAGAACGCAGCTTTGACAACAGACCACTAGTTGGATTTTACTAAAAAGAATTATACGCGTAGCTGTTTAAAGTTACTTGCGAACGAAGAGAAAAAATTGAACGATCCCGTATAAACGAAGTGTCTGGTCAAATTTTTCAGCCGGGCAAAAATTTGTCCGTTGCCGTATAAACGTTGCCTTTAGATTTGCAAAACGGCAATTTTGCGCGTGGTTCACGGTTTTTGATATATTTTTCTACCAATCGGCAACAAAATGGGTTGAGACACTTCCCCCTAAACTGGGCTTTTTTACGTTTTTACTGACTTCAGCAAGAGGAAATAATTATAGCATTTTCTCCCCATCTCTTCTATGCAATGTTGTGCCGATGTTCGAGCTACCTGTAGAAAACCACAAACACCCCAACTTTGAATAGAGGAGTCAGAGGAGGGGTGTGCATTCTCTTCTTCTATAAAGTTACCCTATTTAGGCACAATGTCTCAACAATGTTGTCGCCGGTTGTACCGTCGTTTCACGACCACGTGAACATAAGAAAAAAATATTATATTTTTAAAGTGGATTTCGCGTAATTTCTACGAATGTAAATTTTGCGCCCTTCAGTTAAAGGGAGGCGATATATGGAAGGTTGCGCGTAAACGTAGAAGTTGGACCTTGTTCAACTTTTACCTTATTTTATTTACTTCCGTTGGCAAGGAGACCTGTGACATTGTTATGCTGTCGCTGAAGTCATAGGTGGCTGAATTAATTAATAGGTAATTGTTGTAAAGAAGTGACCTTTCCAAACAAAATTAATTGTACAGTTAAATAGACTCATAATTAGAGGCCCATTGTGTCTTAGATCGTGGTTGGAGATACACTTCGTTTGGAATTTAGGTAGCCTGGTTAGCGGGGCTGGGGCCCGTTTCTCGAAAGTCCCGATAATTGTTATTAATATAGATCGAGGTTTCAATAGTTTTGCATCTTACATGATAAAACCATCAGTTAATGGAACAAAATGGAGTAGCTTGCTAGCCAGGACCCGCGCTCCCATTTTCAGACCCGAAAAGTTACAAGGACTTTCGAGAAACGGGCCCCGGGCCCGCTTTGCCCACAGGCAGCTTGAGCTCAGTGTGAGAATTCATTAATCATTAATACGCGTGGTCTCATATTGCGTAATCCTTAAAAAGGCCGCCAACAAAGTGGTTGTTCGACGGGGTTCCACAGTATTATTATATCTATTAATTTTATTTGATGTATCTATTTTAAAGCGCCTTAGCTGGTGTGTTCTAGAAAATAGTAACGAAAAAATAAAATGTATTACTATAATTTACTGGTGTATTTTATGGTTTATGGAATGCTTCTTTGTCGTAACCTTATCAGATCAATGATCGTATCGATTAGCCTGCTATCCAGTGGCATGTCCAAACTCTTGTCATCGATGATAACAAATATTCTGCCAAAAAAAATTAAAAAACCACATAGTGTATCAAATCTTGTCTACATTCTGCTGAAATAAATCCGAGTCTAAATCGGGATTTATTTGTTTGCACACCAACATTGCGAGGACCGCGATATGGCGTGTATGGTCAAAAATTAAGGAGGAGTGTAAACGCGATTAAAAACGTTTTCAACCAAAAATGCACAATGACTGTTATCCTTTAAATACAATGCTCCAATGGAAGCAATTGGATCGTTATCAAACCGAAGCAGAATTGGAAACCCGTGTTGGGTGGTTTACGGGGACCACGACCTAAACCTGCGTTATGAGGACCACTGCAAAAGTTGTTCGGCGTAACGTTATTTGACGATTTAAGCCGATTAGGACAATAATATTTACGGGGACCAGGTATCGGTCCTCACAACTACGGTGGTCCTCACAACGCTGGTGTGTAAACACATAATGGTCCTCGTAATTACGGATGGGCAGGCACACACACACACACACACATACAAAAAAACCCTCTAAAATGGCTGTTATTCGTCTTTGGTCATTGCCCAATAGCGGTTTTCTGGAGGATTGGATAATATTTTACCAGATTTGTAACACGATTGCACGACGGTTTTATGTTCGATTCTGCAGTAAACACAACCTAAGTCGTTTTTTTCTAAAATGGAAAACTCAAAGCTTTCGACAATTTATTACAGTCCGAACGGATTTTGGAAGGGATTGGGGGGGTGTGAAAAAGTTGGCTAAAGGGTCCCTGAAGATGCCACGAAACTTTGGTTGATGAAACAGGCCATCTGGCAGATTTATTTGCCCGCTTGAAAGAATATCCCGAGACCAACCTTTGATGTTCAATCTCCAAATGCGATTCATCAAGCTGATCTTCTTTTCATCCCTCATGACATACATACATACATACATACATACATACATACATACATACATACATACATACATACATACATACTTTATTGAGACTCCCTTCAACAGGGCTTTTCAGTCACAATGTTACTTATTACATAATACTGGTAATTAAGAAAAGAAAAGAAAACTTATTTACAGTAGTTCAATTAAATTAAAAATATATTCAAAATTATTCAAAATATATTCAAAATTATTTAGTATGAAATATCTTATTAAAAAGTCTCCGCTTAAAACTATCAATATCTTTAGTGTTCTTCATATTGTCAGGTCACCCATTCCACTCCTTTGGACCCCGAAAATAAAATGTCCTTTGTCCCATTGATAGTCTACACCGGGGGGCCACAAAATTGTTACATCCCATTGTGTTCTTGTTGTGAACTGCTGAACGTTTAATAAAATATTTACCTAAAATATAAATATTCTGGAGCTAAGCCATTTACACATTTGAATACTAAAACTAAGTCATTAAATAGAACCTTCTCCGTAACATCTAGCCATTTAAGAGATCTCCGTCCCTAGGAGATATGGTCAAACGTCTTTAAACCTAATACAACTCTGGCAGCAAAATTTTGTACCAACTGCAGTTTGTGAAGGTTACGTTTAGATGTGTTCTCCCATACTGAGGAACAATAAAAAAAGTTTACTGAAAACAAAGCTATTTATAAGTAATAAAAGGGTTTTCTTATCCAAAAGATGTTTGGTTCTACCTATCTGTACCAACTGGTTCATGACAGACCAACACCCAGGTCGAAAAAGATTAACAAGTACGCATGGACTTTATGTCGTTGATATCGCGAGCAGATTCAAGGGCGCAGAACCACTCACTTTAAAGGATTCTTTGGAAGTCTCAAAGGCTTTTCAGAAAATTTACTGGAAAGGACTGATGAGATGGCCGAAGGTTCTTCAGGTTGATCCCGGTCGAGAATTCATGGGAGAAGTAACAAAGGTTGAAGGCTAAGAATGATGTGAGAGTGAGGAGAGAAAATGTGAACGTTCGCAGAGATCAGTGAATTGTTGAGCGTTTCACTGGAACTCTGAGTGAGCGGCTTTTCAGTTATCAGTACAGTCAAGAAATGAACTTCCAATCCGCAGAGAGGTCCAGAGAATGGGTGAAGAGGCTACCAAAAGTCGTCTTGGCTCTGAATGGAGAAAAAACTCGATTCACTGGGAAAAAACCTGTTGAGGCGATCAAGGAGAAATTGGTCTCCGCGAAACGTTCAACCACTCAAGGCCCGTGGGGACAAAAGAGAAGAGACTCGATTCTTCTGCCCACGTAAGATATCTCTATGCCCCTGGAGAGCTTGAAGGTGGACAGAGGAGGCCATTGATCCGGTCTGGTCTCTGAAATTTTTCAGCATTTCGAGGTCTATCGTGCATGAGGGTGAGCCAGTTCTTTATTATCTGGATTATGGTTCGAGGCGTGGGTTTGTCAGAGAGGGGCTCATGGTGGTTCCTCCAGGGACTGAATTGCCTCCAGTTGAAAAATGATTTCTGCATAAAAAATGGAAACATCTCACCTTATACCGATCTCTGAAAAAAGATTTTCGAAAAGTTGGCTGCGGGGTGAAATACAGGAACAAAGTTCCGAGGAAAGAATTTAAAGCCATGCTTGGTTATTGCCCTCAAGGAAAACCTGAGATAAAAGTTGAGATAAGTGATGAAACGGGATTCTGCCAAGTCTTCAGCATCATGAAAGTGGCCGCAAAAACTTGCATGCGGGATCTCAAATGGCTCTGCTATAAGATACGCCATTGGCAATGATAGACAATTCATCAAGGAGAAGATCTGACAGGAAAAGTTTTCATGTGAGGGCTGTTTGTCTTTTGCTATAAAATGTTCTGCGAAGAAAAGTGCAGGGAAATATTTGAGAAAATTCTCGGAGAGAAAGTTGAAAAAGTCAGGCCCTGTTTGATAAGCCACGAGACGGGTTTCTGCCTTGAACTAGATGGATATTGCAGGGGTCTGAAAATTGGCGTTTGAATATGACGCGGGATTCAACATCGTGAATATCCAAATCCATTCAACCGAGACATAACTGAGTTTTTCCGCCAGAGGAGGAGGGATGAGATGAAGACCCGGAGGTGCAAGTCACACGGGGTGACTCTGGTGAGAATCAGGTATGATGTTTATGATATCGAAAGATTTATCAGAGAAAAACTGAGGGAGAAAAAATTTATTTGAGATGTGACTCATTTCCTGGGAAAATAAGTCATCACGTCCCAGAGTTCTCCACGGGCAATACATCAACGCTTATATCTCGATATGGACAAAGAAAACCCGGTTGGTCTTCGATTGAATTCAACTCTCAGTGCCGTTTTATGTTCAGGAGTGATCTGAGCTTTTTTCGGTATTCGTTTTTTATCTCCTCCTTGAGAGCTTCAAAATCATGAGCTTTGCTTCTGCTGACTGGTGTATTCCTGATTTGATTTTTCAATGATTGATATTGTTCAGCCTTTCTCAATATCAAGTTAAACTCCACCTCAGAAATTAAACCATCATTCAATGCCTTTGAAACCAGTCTGCTGATTGACATATGTTTCGCTTCAGCCAGAGCGACCGTTTGTTCATGTTTTGAAATCTTTTTATCAAACCTTCTGCCACCGACTGTGAAAACGTTTGACACCCAACCAAAGAAACCGGCGACTCCAGCCAGGGGTGCACCAGAGACGGCACCAATTTCGCTCAGAGAAACCGCCACGCCTCCTGCTGATAACATTGCTGCCGTGAATCTAGTGAAAGCAGATGTTGAGTGGATGACAGCCTTTCCCCCGGTAATGCGAAATTTCATTTTCGAGATCTTTCTAACAATCACAAATCTTTTTTAATCTAGCGTGGAGGAGCGCTTGGTAATGTATTTTGATCAGACATTTTCTACGTGGCAATCAAATAATTTCCAACACAAATTCTAGGGGAAAACCTCTGAAATCAAACAAATTCCCGTTTTCATCTTTCACGGAAATGGTCAAACTATGCAAATATTTATCTCCCTGGGCAGCGTCACAAAACACTTTCTGTGCTGGAGGGATGTAATCAATTTTTTCATGAGGTTGCCCGCGGATTAAAAATTTTGCCAGCAAATTTGAAGGTTTCCCATTCAAGAGATTTTCCGTTCTGTCAATCAAATCACAAGGAAGGAAGTAGGAAGTCGGAATGTTCAATTTGTGGATGATTCTGCTTTTGCTAATAATATTTGAGGAAAGATTGAGCAGTTTCTGCAGATCCACGTCCAAGGAAAAAGTGATCGAACTTTTGTTATTGATGATCAGTTGCCCTTCATGAGTATTCTTTTCAAAACTTATGTTGTCGTTCTCTATCACCACTTTGCATCGGGAAAATAATTAACCAGATTGTGAATATTGTAATGCCCGGAGAATAAGAGATACCCCACGGTGTCAAGGTTTGATTTATTGACTTGAAATTTGATTTTTCCCGTTTTTCAGGGTGTGCCAAGAATTGTAGAGAGAGCAACTCAGGAGCTTGAT